TGTGTGCATGTGTGTGTGTGTGTGTGTGTGTGTGTGTGTGAGAGTGTTTGTGTGCATGCGTGTGTGTGTGTGTGTGTGTGTTTCCCCTGTTCATGTTGTAACACGCAGCTCAGACTCTTAAAGTATTTAGAGATGCGGTCTATCTCTCTGTCGCTCTCTCTAATCAGCTGTCAGGTTCTCTCAAAGTTACGAAGGTTTGTCTCAAAACCTTAGCACAAAAACAGTATTTATACAACATTCATGCAATGTTTTTTCCTTAAACGAAGTTTAGTTAGACATTCACATCACATTTTTTAAATGTTACTATTTGTTTTAGAAGATTCAAAAGTAACGTTCCCATACAAAAAAAAGAAGAAAGATCAAATAAGAAAATTCCTTGGACTCATATCTCGAATTTCTCGTATGATTGTTGCAGTGATCTAGTGAGTTAGACATCCACTGAAAATAGTGAGCTGATTAAAACAGAGAGAAATGTAAACTAGACAGTGAACAGTTGCAGCAAAATGCGCTTTGCCTTCTACTTTCCTGTGCATTTGAAGCTAAAATCTTGCAATGAAAACTCATAATGCACTCAAAAGCTTCATCAGGATGTGAAGGATGTGAAGGTGGTGCAGTTTAATCCTAAGAATCGGAGGACTGGAGGCTGGTTTACGGTCTGCATGTTGAGCTGCAGATAGTGTTGTCTTCAGGAACATGATAAAACATGAGCGGCGCGAGGAGGAGGAGGAGGAGAGGCTTCGAGTGTTTCTGCTTGTCTCAGCCTGTGTTTGCTGGACCGTTATATATCCGCCACAATCCACTCTCAGTCTGTGTGTGTGTGTCTCCGTCAGGCGTCCGAGGTGCAGGCTATGATCGCCAGTGACCGCAGTAGTCTGTTTGCCAATGGAGTGACACTGGCCGGCAAGAAGTGCACGGTTCTGAGAGACGCTCTGAATGTAGAGGGCCAGAACACCATGGACATCAAGATGAAGACCTCAGAGAAAGAGCCCGACCCCTTCTCCTTCACCATCGGCAGATCACACAAAGGTGAGAGCCAGCAGATCACAATATACATAAAGTATATGTCCAGTGTGTGCACTTTATGGCCGTGCATATTTGCTGAACTTGAATAAATGCAAGATTGTAATTTTAACAAGCACTGGAGTAGTGATCAAAAAAATGGAATTAATGTAATTAGAATCAGGAAAAAAACAAACGTATTACAGTAAAAAAAAAAAAAAAAAAAGTTTATTTCTTTATATATTATATATAAAGTATATGCAAATCTGATATGTAAATAATTTAATTGATTTCATTTCAGTTTATAATTAATTTATAATTGATGTTTAAATTATTAATTATGTTGCAAATTGACTTGGACCTCTTTTTTTATTTATATTTTTATTTACAAATATCATACGTAAATATATTAAAATTATTTAATTTATATGCATTTATATATTTAAATTTTTGTTTATAATTTATATTTAAAAAATGCGATGTCATTTTATTTCTTTACATAATCCCCGGACATGTCTTTATATATGAAGTATATACAAATATTATTTGTAAATATATTTAAATGATTTCATTTTAATTTATAATTAATTATAAATTTGAATTTTAAAAATGTTATGTCTTTAGATTTTGGGTGAAATTTGACCTGGAGTTGTTTTTAGATACAAAGTATATGCAAATATATTAAAAATATTTAATTTGTGTTTCCTTTAAATTTATAATTGATTTATCATGTATATTTTAAAAATGAATATTTTATTTCTTTAGATTCTGGGGTGAAATTTGACCTGGACATATTTTTATATATGAAGTATATGCAAATATATATATGTAAATATATACATTTATTCATAATTTAGAATTGATTGATTTTTTTAGATTCTGAAGTGAGATCTGATCTGGACGTGTTTGTGTGAGATTGACATTGTTGTTTGTCTCTCTCTTTCAGCGCTAATCATTGCTAAAGGTGTAAAAGATGCTCACGGAGGCAAAGTCAATCCCCCCGTCTTTGACATGACCACATACCTCAGGAAGATGAACATGTGAACAAGCCCCGCCCCCTGCCCTACTGACTCCGCCCACTTCACCTGTCGACCTGATCTCCATTCATAAAGCCCGAAGAACCGCTCCACGATCAACCAAACATGTGCTTGAGAAGCCTCTCATCTTCATCATCCTCATCTCGGTTTAAACATTCCAGGAGTCCGAGATCTCGGTTTCTTCTCCGGTCAGGCCGTGGAACGCAAACTCCAGTTAATATCAAACTCATTTATTGGTTTTGTCACGAATTAATTGATTGATTTACGGTTCTGTAGTATTTTCTGTGTTTTGGACGGGCGGAGCGTCCAGTCATTTGTTGGTATGATTGTCTGTGTGAAATCCTGCTGAACAAAACCGAGAAATCTGACTATTAGATGCCAAATAAAGAGAGAGTGAGTTTGTACGGAGCAGCTCCTGTCTGTGTCTTCATGGAGGCGTGATGTGCTTTTAGAGCGATAAAAGTCACAGTACATCACAATATCATTACTGGTGAAATTACATCAAAACTGAGTTCACTTTCAATTTCTCTTGTGCAGTTCGCTTCATTTTTTATCAATAAGAAACACCACTTCAGTTTTAGTTTTATTTTAGTATTATTTATATACTTTTATATATAGATTTTTTATTTTATGTTTTGTCATTTTTTTTATATTACTATTTTGAATTACCTTATTTATTTTTATTTAAGTTTTAGTTTTTGTTCATTTGCTGTTGAGGTTTTTATTAGCATTTTAAATTAGCTTTTATGTTTATGTATTTATTTAAATTTTTGTTTAATTTTTTAGTAATTTTGTTGCGTGTTTTACTCATTTTTTAAATTACTATTTAGATTTAAATATTTTTATTTACATTTTAAACATTTCATTTAGCTGCCAATAAAAAAAAAAAAAAAGTTTTTTCATCACATATTTATATTTTATATTATTTAAGCTTCATATTAAATATTAAAGATATTTTTAACAGTTTTAGTTTTCAGTTAAGGTTAACAACCCTGCTTTAAACACGCACACATCGTCTTAATCACAGCACTCCACTCAAGAGCTCATTAGAATATTCAGCGGCTGATGCGTGCGAATGTCTCAGCCAATCACAGGCTGTTTTACTCTTTCTCTTCCAGTAAAGCTTTTGCATTCTCAGCACACTAGAATGAACGAGATGCACCTTCTTCAGGACACTTGTTTGAACTCAGAGATTCATGAAGCAGAAGCAGAATGATTGCTGATTGTCATTTCCGACCCAAACTGTCACAGTCAATTCAAGGCAACAATTAACGTAAGGATGTGTTTATCTGATTTGACAAGTTTCCATTAATACTGACTTTAATTCTCAACAGGACGGTTTAAAACATGCGGGTAAGAAATGATTGTGAACTTTCCACTAGTCGCTCACTGCTCTCGAAACAGAGAAGTGAAACTGATGAAAACAGAACAAATGTAGTGACATACGTGTGCACACCCTAACAAACACGACCGACACAATCCAACAAACACACTCGTTCATTTAGCAGACACGTTTATTTATCTCACTGTAAGGAGGCAGTAATTTGAGACTCTTGAGCACACACTGTTGTGAAGGAATAGTGCTGTAAGAGAGGAAACAGGAAGTTCTGCATGTGACACACACAGACATGAGATTTATGATAGAGATTGACATGAAGCACACACACACACACACACACACATTCACACACACACACACAC